TCATATAATGAATACCTGCACTTTATTTGTAAAGATAGTAATTTATACACCAAGGTAGTAAAGAATATCATTATTACCCAGGAACCAAGAGTATAAGGTCCAGTCGTGATATTATTTTTACGCCTGCGGAAGTAGAAGTTACTTTCTCTGGTAACAAAAGAGGGGCAGAAGTCTCGTATTATTCCCTAGGAAGAAAAAGTACTTTTCCTCCCAAGGGAGTTTATACCACTTTACATTTTCCGCATAGCTCTGTGATTCTTTTCGGAACACCCTTGTCTGAAGCGAGTATAAGCTGCATCATAGAGATTTCTATATCTCACTGGTAGCAAGTTGAGAATCACTGCAGAAGCAGTATCAATAGTTTCTTGGGGTTTTCCCTCGATTTCATGTTCCATAACCGTTAACCATTTTCAAAGCTGTTTTCATAAATTTCAGTTTGATATTTGCTGTGAATATGGGTTGTCATGTCATAATTATGACAAAACACTTTGATCAAATTTTTATTTATTATTAATTTATTTATTTATTATTTAATTCATTATTTATTCTTAATTTTTGTGTTTTCGCCTTCGTATAAAATAGTATATAGGTACACCTCAGGACAGAATGCTATTCTACTAAGGTGTATATTACATTTTTTTTCACCACTAGCAATATATTTCAATCATTATATTTTACTTGATTATTTGGTATTTTTTCTCCTCGTTTCTATAACATAAATATATGAGTATTATTTCAATATATACATATGTGTAGTAGAACAAATCAGAGGTTTTGACACATAATGTCTCTGCGTTTAACGAATTCTTTTATCAGGGAGCATAAAAGAAAAATCCAATAGCTTGTCAGTGACACTGTGTTTGGAAAAATGTTTGAAGATAAGATATATATATATATATATATAGTTATATTGAAAACATATCGAATTTTTACTTATCTTTGGACGTTTCGGGAATCTGCTCCCGTTCTCAACATAAAAATGTAAACTATTTTTCTTCGAAAATCAACCATTTTCATGTTCAGTTTTCAGTAGTGAATACCATGTTCTATCTATATCAACTGAACAGGAAGCAACGCTATTGTCTCCGTTCAGAAGAATGATTTTTCTCTTTTGGTTGTTTTCCCCTCTTTCCTATGAGAGAATAGCATCGCTCATTTTGTATATTAAATTTACCACCCTGTATCTCGGAAACGGAGCAATTTCGGACTGAGGTAAATTGCTATAAATCGAAGATTTTGTACATACCTTCTAGGGACCCTCTTGTGATTTTACTACAAATATTATAATCTGTTTAATAGGTATAGACTTTATTGAGAATTTAATAATTGGTGAACATAATGTAACATGATGTATATAAACTTGTATAAAATACTAGAAGACTAGACTAAATGTAGACCATAATCAAAAATAGAATAGGTTACAAGAATTAAATATTATTATTCTCATAAGAATATCATTGAATGGGAAAGTTTCCTATATTGAGATGTTTATATCTCCGTGAACTTTATGAAAAATTATTATTATTATTATCATTATTAAGGTCGACGTATACTATTCAATGGCACTAATAAAAAAAATAATAGGGATCAAAAGAAAATTTGGGGTGAGACTTCTCTGTGTCCACCCAAAGTTCTTCACTGTAGCAATTCTGACGTCACCTCTGTACCTGTGCGGAAGGCACAATCACGCGAAGTTCAATCATTCAAATGGTTTTGAAGTGGCGTTCTTGTTTTTTTTTTCGTAATTTGTGCAATTTTCAAGATAGCATTTCTCGTTATTTGGAAGAATTAGGAAACATCTGATATTTTGGGAATATTCGTTAGACTGTAACGTATGTATTTATCGCAAAAACACCTCGTATACATATTTTCATTTTGTCCATTGGCTTTGATTTCACTTCAGGAAACAAATACAAATAATTGGTATTAACTCGTTCTCCATTTTGCTGACTGCTATGTTCACACAGAGCTAAAACGCAATTTAGCTTGAGCGAATGAAACTTACGAAATTATCAGATCAGATGACAAATTGAAATGAATAGATTCAGAATGAAATTGTAAGGTTTCGTAGTAGATATTCATCGCTTCCAAGGAATTAGCAAATTAAATCTAGCATCGCGCCCACATTTCTACCTGAAACCAGTTTTACACTACTGGTATTAACAAATTCATAACCAATCAGAAAACCATAACTTGACCTCAGTAAATACCACACGGTTTTCATGACATGACTTTCATAAAAAAATATTTCCATTTTCATGTTCCAAGCTCATATGGAGCGTTTCATGTTCTTATTTTCAATAAATATTACTGAATGGTAGTTGTAACAATTGCAGAAGGCATATTTTCGATACCAGTCATTTACGGTCTACACAAAAACATATCCTCCGATTCGTCTTCGAATCTGCCTTCTGCGATTGTTACAACTACTATTCACAAATATTTATCGGAAATGAGAATTTAAATGAAACGCTCCTTATTTGCTTTGAAAATAGGATTTTTTTTATAAGTTTCAAGATCTAAAAAACCGTGAGGTTTTTACTGGGGTCAAGGTGTGGTTTCCTGATAATTTATGAACTTGGTTATTACCAGCTAGACTATGCTCCATGGACACTCTGTATATGCGCTGTTTTCATTGTACTTGTTGATTGTGATTCATTATTAAGTAAGGTGATAGGAATTATTCGGTTATAGTTGCATTCTTCTTCTGAGTTCCTGTTATTCTTCAGTTTGGACTTCGTGCCTATACTCATGCTGTACAGAGATTATGTTTGCCGACTGAAAATTTCTAAATTGCTCTAGTTAGAAAATAGAAATGATTTGAATAATTTAATGGACATTCTATATTGCAATTAATATGAACCTAACCGGTGTGAAGCTGATTCGATGAAAGTTCATCAGAAGGAAACTTTCCCATTCGCAAAAAAATTATGATTATGTGAAGGTACTGACATTCGATTATCAATGCCAACAAGATAGTTAATTAATATGAGCATACAGGACATGACTACTATCTAGACCGCTTTTTCATATGTCATATTCCAGCAACAAAAATATCGGTCAAATTACTCGCCTGAAAACTCTTCTACCCAATGCGCAGGAACTCATAATTTTTGTTAACATATTTGTCATCAAATTTAACAGGTGTCATACAGCCTTAAGAGTAAGATATATGTACAGGTCCTGAATGCACACGCTCCATTGAACCAAGTTCAATCTCGTAAATTAGCGGTCTAATTAGTAATTTATGTCGGTGCTATAAACAAAGGGGTTCAGTCGATATAAATATTCATTTAGCGATTTCGTGTTAGGTTAGGATTAGATTTTGCGGTTTTTGAGCTAGTTTCCATCGTGGTTGGTTTGGTGTAGGTATCTTGATAGAAATCATTGCTTTGAATGATTGCGACCTAGTGGAATATTTTTTAATACACCTTCTCAGTGCTCTATCTCATAATGGTAAATTAATAGTAGAAAACAAACGTCTATTACCAGAATAGAACAAACTTATTGTCAAACGTAACGAATAATATCGTTCATTCAGAACTAAACACTAAAATATGAATGGTTAACGAGATCTTAGGTGTTGAATTGTTGTTGGGGGCGGGGGGCATACCTAATGATATTAAAACCTTGACTAGAATATCATGAAAAATCACAGGAGCACATTTCATCATTTGTTAAGTTCAAATAATGCCTTAAAAATCCCCAAAATCATGGACGCTATTTCAGACCCATGGAAAAAGAATCTGGTGTCAGATTCAGTAAAAAATTTTTTGTTAGATTTTCAAAATTACTGACTGTTTACTTTATGCAATAGGCTCACATACAGGTCGAAAAATATTTTTCTCCTGATTTTCCTAAGAATCCCAAAAAAAGTCATAAATACTATTCCAGACCCAATAAGAAAGAATCTGGTGTCAGATTTAGTAGAAAACTTTTCGTTCAGATTTCAAAAATTAGCTGTTTATGTATTGCAGTAGGCTCATAGAGGTCGAAAAAATTTATGAAGAATATTTCCCATTTTTTCTCCTCATAGGTGAGTTGGTGACTGCAGAACGTCTTGTTGTTGTAGATATTGGTTAGGAATACTTGGTCAGAAAGATATGATATATACATATATTTGTCGAAATTAGTATATAGTACACAGTAGGATAATATGTACCTAAATACTCATCTTTTTAGCTTCAAACAATTATGTTATCAATTAATAACTCTCACAGAGCATTGATATTCAAAATTTATCATTTTTGAGATAAAGTTCTCAATTCCCAGTATTCTGAAGCTTTGACATGAGTTCAGAATATTCTATTCTTTTCTCATCTTTTCATAGTAAACCTTCCAATCCTTTTTCCCGCGATAGGCATATGTCGCTCTGATTCATGAATGTTGAATTCAACGCCACCAAAACTCAAGCTTGTATCTTCTCTAAAAAAGCTGAACTCAGTATGCTCGATATAACTATGTCTGGTGCTACTATTCTGAAAAACTCCATGCACAATATCTATGCTCGGTATTTCCATAAGTAATACTCTCATGGGACAATTATGTTAGATAGATCAAGAAAACTCGGCTTTTTATTCCCAAAGAAAAGCTACTTAAAACCTCAACAGCTTCTTATGATCTTCACAGCACAAATTCGACCAATTTAAGAATGCGTACCGTTCCCACACATGGGGAAATAACAAATCTTGTTGGAGTTAATATTCAAGGATATTGAGCCTTTCAGAACTCTTACAATGTAATAACTAGATATAACAAAATACCAAAGAGAACTTGATATATCAAACAGTACCACGCATATAATATTCATTGAGCCAAATTCAAATACCTATTTTGTAAGCATAACAAGTATGGTGGGCAATTAATGCATTTTCTCATTGATTATTATCTCGATTATTACTATTGCAATGAGTGAAACTGGAGAAATCTTACAGCACTTTATCAATTAATCACATAGACGATCACATAAAATGTGAATATTCCTTTCACATGATACCACCTTATAATAGATTTCTGTCCAGTCCAATCTCTTCAAGAAAAAATCCCATGGGAGTGGTTGTGAATCCCAAGCTTTCGACTCTATTCGCCAGTTTATTCTTGATATTGCGCAATCTCAGAGATGCGTGAATAAAAATAGCTGAAATCAAACGAACATTCAGTATAATGAGTATACAGTGCGTCAAAAAAGTCACCACTTCTGTTTACTTCTGAACGACTCATATTTGAATAAAAGTTGCTCTAAATGGCCCAACTCAAATTTCAAGTTGTTCATATTTACTGATACATTCCTACAGGTGGATATCTAGGTGACCGCTTGATGGATTTTTTGAATTCATGTACAGGGTGATTTCAAAACGTTATACATGAACTTTTTTTTCAAACTTTCAAGGTCAACTCCGTTACGAAGTGCGATAGGCATTTTTTTCATATGAAGTACTAACATTATTTTGGTTCACTCTATCAGCCCTACCTTTCCGGACACCCTGTATATTTCTGTATTCTACGTATATTTGAAGAGATATTGCATCATTGTCAAAATTAGTGGAGCTGTTACGAAAAATTATAGAAAATCAGCTTCGAATCATTTTGAATGAGTGGAAAACAAAAATATAGGGGTTTCACATTAATAAAACTAGCCCTGTACAAGCAACTATGAAGAGAACGCACTTTGTTCCATCAAAATAGAACCTTCCTTATCGAATTTCGGGGTTTGGCCCTGTTTAAGTCCACCTTTCATCGAATAATCAAGATGTCAGTGAAGAGTAAACTATTTGATTCATGAAATGAAAATATCGAATTGTATGCACTTGTCCATAAAGTAACCCCCCTAGTAAACTTTTGAACGATTAGGATTGTTTTCTCTTTTTTTGTGCTCCAGTGTTGAAATAACTCTTGCTACATTTTGCTTCCGCTGAAAAATATGTATCTTACAAAATGGCGCCTGGAATCCTTTTTGGAAGATTTTTTAAATGGAATGGAGACGTCGAGCGTCATTTGGAACGTCTTTCGATTCTCCATACGACACCAATTTCGGACCAAAATATTCACCCAAAACGAAATGGCGAATGATGAGTGTTTGAAATCTCATTCCAGGATCCTTTTGATAAGATGGCTATTAACATGCTCTCTTGTAAGCTTCAACTCTCTACAGGGTGATTTAAAAGTGAGCGGCATCCTTCCGGGAACGCAATCCTTGCATAAAAATAGGGCAAAAAGTTCCTATTAATATGGGTCCGAAAATGCTTCCTAAGGAAACTACGCCCCTTTGAATAGGACACGTAGAAGACGATTTTTTTCACTTTAACTTTAAAACCCTTTGATATTGAATTTTGAAAATTGGTGTAAGGTATGAACAGTTGATGGTGAATAAGATTCTGAATTCAGAAAGGTTGATTAAAATGTAGTTTAAAAGGACTGTTTTTATGGTGATGCCAATCAATTTTCATCAATAAACATTCAAACCCAAATCAGAAAGTTATCAAAGTCGATTTTCTCGTAAATGGTACGCTCTATCGAATACAGCGTGTATTTTTTACGTAAAAAAAAACTCTTGAATTTTATAATTCCCAGACAAAAGCATATTAACATAAAGAGTAAAAGAAAAAGGGAAGCTTTTACCTTCACCCTTTTGAAATATTGAATTTAGAATCTTATTTACCATCAAATGTTTATACCGTACACCAATTTTCCAGAATTCAATCGTGAAGGGTTTCAAGGGTATACTTTATGGAGAAACAATCGTGTCTTTGAGATGTCCTATTCAAGGGTGCGTAGGTCCCTTAGGAAGCAATTTCGGACCCATATTAATAGGAACTGCTTGCCTTATTTTTATGCAAGGATTACGCACCCGAAAGGTAGCCATTTACTTATGAATCACCCTGTATATTGGCATCTAGAAAAGTTGTCTAACCAGAAAAAAATTTTGAAAGAGAGAAAATAAGAATAAAAATTGTTGTTGATTTTGAATACTGCTATTTCCTTCAAGATGGATAGAGAACTTCTCTAGATCCACTAGAGAATTGAGAATTAGAGGAGATCACGAAAATATCCATCTAGTCGAAAGAATCCGGATATGAAATTTCAAACATAATCATCCGGCATTCTGTTTTGGATGAAATTTTTTTCTGTTATTTTGATGTTTTTCAGACTTCTAGGGAATTGGAAGTTGTTTTGAATGAGAAGTCACCCAACCCCGCATTATTTAAAAAAATCTTTCAAAATGGTGTCCAAACATTACTTTCTAGTTCCTATACATATCGATGGGTTTTTGGCAAAGTAACGTAAGTCACAAAGTGATGTTTTTACAGGAGATACGTTATTCACTATGAGGTATGAAAAAGCAAAATAATATGACAAAACTTTCAAACCCAAATTCTTCGGATTCATCTTCTTTGTTTCTGGTAGAGATAGGGTTTGTACATGAATTTGTTTTGCATACTGAGGAAACATTGATTTCCACGTGAGATCAATCCTCGTCTGTCAGAGAAATTGTAAAAAGCACCTGATTTTCAACACAAACGTTGCAACAATTTCATGATTTCCACGTGAGATCAATCCTCGTCTGCCAGAGAAATTGTAAAAAGCACCTGATTTTCAATACAAAAGTTGCAACAATTTCATGGTTTCAAATCATAACAATGGATATAGGTACTTATGCATGGCACATTCATTGAAACTAATAATTACAGGTAATCCCTATTGGTACGCGTCTGAACTGCCATCTTGAAAACACTTTTTTTACGAATCTTTGCCTAATTTAGGAGATATTTTGAAAAAAAGTGTTTTCTGCCTAATTTACAGTTACTATAAATTTGGCAAAAATTCAACTGTATTTAGTATTGCAGTAGGATAGGTTAAACAAGGGTCGAGTTTAACAAATCTGCTGGCAATTTTATTGAAGGTTTACAATACAGTAATGGGAACGGGTTATAATGTATTCATAGTTTACTATCAATTAGGGGAGACTTTCAATAATTCACTAGAATTATCAAATCAGGAACAAACATTGTTCACAGATACCAAACTCTACTGCCAGACTCACTGTGAAAAATTGACGTAAATGACGTATATTTTGTTCTGCTTACATCAGTATGATGGAAAATAAAATTAACTTATGTTAATGTGATGCGGCAAGGAATATACTCACGTTGCTTTTTTTGGTTACTAGAATGAATTTATGTATTTGATTTACGTTTTGATATTGAAGGGGAAATTCATGAATTGATAATGTATTTAAGTCACAACACTCTGCCGGGACATGTGAAAATGTGACTTATGTTACTCTGCTAAAAACCCATCGATACTTTCTATTGTAATAAAAAAGGAGAAAAAAAATACCAGCCTTTCGAAAAACAACTAGGGGGCTCATCGAAAAGTCTAAGTTTGAGCACATATTCTCAAAAATAATCTTATTTTCCAAGTCTAAAGCATGCAATCTTTTGCAAATGAGCAAAACGTTAGTACGACTTTTTTGGATTCTGAAGCCCTCAATTAGGATCACCCAAAAATTGTATTGACACTGTTGCCAAATCTCTGATTTTGTTTAAAATCTTAATAAAATAAGTACTTTTCTAATGTTTTTTGATGTTAATAACCATTCTGCTTATGAATCATTTCAAAAAAAAATTCGAGAAATACTCAATTCAAATATTTACCAGTTATTGGAAGTAATATTCCTAGAATGAATATGAGAAGGGACTGTAGCATATACGCAACAAAATATCCACCAGCAAAAATAATCAATACTGAGATAACTGGATGATTTCTTTTGAAACGGGCTGCAGACTGTTGTTCATTCGTAACATAAACAAATATCATGAAAATGACTGCCATTGCCATAAATCCACAAGCCATTTTTAGGGGATGAATTATTCTGAAACAAATAAAAGGGATAACTAGATTAGAAACAACATAATTCAGAAGGTTAGTTCAAACATTGTCGATCTAAATGGAAACCTAGTAGCAGTAGGCGACATAGTTCGCGAGGAAGGTTGTCATGCAGAACGACAATGGTTGGAACATTCATTCAAGGAAGATTAGTAGGACATTTGTAAGATGGTCATATTGAGATCAAGTGTCGAACTCTTACTAATCCATCAAAAGAGAAGTAGGTACATACCACATACCTATTCTGTAATATGAGTGTAGGCTCAGTAGGCCCGTGATAAAGGTAAGTGTGGTTTTGTCATGTACACTACACCTCTTTGATTAGTATTCCAGAAAGTAATTTTACATTCCAGAACAATCAATTCGATTTCAGAATGGTAGTCTGTATTACATTTATGTAACATCAAACAATCTATTTGGAAAAGTGTGGTTCTATAGGTTATAGCTCAAGGGCAATCAATAAATGGCAATTTTCCCATTGGAGACGACCTTGGTAATGGATCGAATATTCCTCCAGAATCTCCTCGAACGAACGATAGGTGCTGCTCTCTTTATCTTCCTGGAATATTTTTCGTGTGCGAGCTCTATTTCTAACTAATTTTTCGTTGCAAGAACGTTTCTGTCCGGTGCAGTGATATTTTCTTCTAATTTTTCTGTAATTTAAGTTGGAGATTTTGATGTAGTGTTGAGTATGCCGTCATTATTGCTTGTGTGAGTTCTTCAAATATCGACTTGTTCGGATTTCAACCGGCAGAACCAACATCTTGCCCTCGTCTGCTCAATCCAGAGTTGACGACTTCACAAACCATCCACGTAAGTGTTACTCCATTTTATTTTATTTTAGGAAGATTTTTGCTTCCTGTCCTTGTTCCTGTTGTTCTGGAGTCCTATTACATTCTAATTAGAACTTCCACTTTACATAGGGCTGTTAGTAGAATATCTTCAGTCTGTCTCCTACCACCCTTGCCTGGGTCTGGAGCGATAACTGGTGATCTGAAGTTGGGAGTTCTTCCTGTGCCTTACCTATTGGTGTTGTCCAGAATCAGATACCATACCACCTACCTGTTATGTTATATCGAAAATAATATATTTGGAGTATGTAATTCCATCTATAGTTCATAGTGTGAAAAACTGTAACGTCGAAAATGTGTTCGTGCCTGGAGGTTTAGCAAATGCATTGATGGAAGAGAACAAGATACCACGTTGTTAGCAAAAGCGGAAGACAAGTTGGTACTGACAATCGACTATCGTTATTTCTGCACGAGGAGAACGCCACTTCAGCCCAGGAGGTATGGACGAAATTGAAAAATTTCAATGACGACAGTGGGTTTACGAGAAAGATAGGGCTTTTGAGAACCCTCTGATATCAGCAATATTGGAAAATCATGAGTCCATGGAATATTACATAAACCAAGTTGTCGAGACATCGCAGAAACTGAGACGAACAGGCTTCAAAATTGATGAAGAGTGGGTTGGCTCCTTATTGTTAGCGGATGTCCCTGAACCATTTTCACCGATGATAATGGCCGTGGATCATTCGGGTATAAAAATTACTACATATTCCATCAAAACGAAATTGTTAGATATGCAGACAGATAGCAGCAGCAGTAGCGGCGCGTTTTCAGTAAGTTACAACAGAAACAAATTCAAACCGAACTACCGAAAGCCGCCGAGAGATGGCAGCAGTAGTAAAGGACGAAATGACTCAGCGAATCTGACAATTCCAGTGTCAAGAAAAGAGATCATAGCAATATTGTTTGTTATAAATGCAAACAAACAGGGCATTTTATGTCAAAATGTACAAATAAATAGTCTGATAGTGGATTTAGTGCCGTATTTACCACAGAGGAATTTCAAAATACAGATTGGTATATTGATAGTGGTGCGAGTGTTCATTCAATCACGAAAAGAAAGTTGTTAAGAAATGAAAGAAATCCAGATCTAGGAGAGAATATAGTTGCCAATAAAACAAAAATGCCAGTGGAGAGCGCACGCGAAGTGCAAATTAAAACTGTTCTACCATGGTAATGAAGTTTGTTTCGATGAGAAAGGTTGTAAGATTTACAATTTTCAAAATGAGTTAGTGGCAACAGCTAGTTTGAATAGCTTTGAGCAGCTTTTTTAACTTGTACTACCAGTAGTGAAGTTTGGCATTGTCGTTTGGGACATTTAAGTAGTGACTACCTAAACAAAATGAGTGACTACCTGAACATAATGAGTGACTTAGTGGACGGTCTTGTTTACAAAGGGCAAGCAAACATCAATCTACAGAATTGTGAAGTTTGTGGTAAAGGCAAAAAACCCGTTTGCCGTTCCCTAGTAAAGGCAGACCCATGGAAACCACTTCATTTAGGCGGAGCCAGGTACTTTTTAACCTTTATTGACGACTATAGTCGTATGTGTTTCATATATTTCTTGAAAACCAAGAATGAAAAGTTTCAGGAATATACGAGTTTAGCTGAGAAACAGAAGAACAAGGAAAAGATTTAAGATTAAGAACAGATAACGGAGGCGAATACTGCAGTAAACAATTTAAGTTACTTGAAGGTCAATGGCATTGTTTATCAAAAAACAAATAGTCATACGCCTGAACAAAATGGAATGGCAGAACGCTTCAACTGCACCCTGGTTGAGAAAGCCAAATGTTTAATGTTTGATGAAAATGTCAGCAAAATTTTATGGGCAGAGGCCTGTAATACTGCATGTTACCTAAGAAATCGTTAAGCTTGTGCAGATGTTTCTAAGACCCCGTTCTGAGTCTGGTCAGGCAAGAAGCCTGACATGTCAGTGTGACTAAGGTGCATGTTCCAAAAGTAAATAGGAACAAATGGGATCAGAAAGCCATAAAGCATATCCTAGTTGATTATGATGATAATACGAAGGACTACAGATGCTATAATCCACTCACTAAAAAGGTGTTTACTAGCAGAGATGTGACCATAATGTAGAAAGTCTATGCCAACCCTGATCCAGTCATAGAAGATGAAGGAGAAGTGCTAGATCTAGTGGGGGAAGAAAATGTACCATCTTCGACTCCAGATATCTCGTTGACAGGAGAATCATTTTATGAAGATCCTATTGAATTGTCTGAAGGTTCAGATAGTGACTACGTTCCTGAGATACACTCAGAAGTAGCTGAAGCTACGAGGAGGTGTCAATGGCCAATAAAAAAGGAAATGTTTGATGATTTTGTAACCTACTTGTGTGCAGATAGTGACCATGAATCGCCTGTTGTAACTGATGCACCTACAACTGTTTCCGAAGCATTTGCAAGACCAGATGGGTACAAGTGGAAAGAAGCAATGATGGAAGAAATCAAGTCTTTTGATGAAAATGAGACTTGGGAGCTAGTTGATCTTCCAGAACAAGGTACCGTTGTGGAATGTAAGTGGATGTACAAGGTGAAGTGTCATAGTGATAGTGAAAAGCTACAGAGCTAGATTAGTGGCAAAGGGGTTTACCCAAAGAGAGGGTATTGATTATACTCAAACCTTTGCTCCAGTGGTACGGCAGTCAATATTAAGATTGTTAGTAGCTTGCTGTTCAATGGGCGTGTACACCTTAGTAGAACTTTTAACTCTTACCATGTTTATAATGATCGTTTTATACATAAATAATGATTGACGACATAATTCGATCGAAAAATTAACTGGAATGTTTTATATTTGGACATAAATAATAGTACCGTCTGAAAACGGACCCTCTCATGACGTAGAAACCTTATCTCGCCATAGTTAAAAGAAAATACCAAACGCCCGACAGAGACTGAGGCAACTGATATATTAATTCTTTCAACTGTGATCTCGCACTAATTCACTCTGTCAGAAATCATGTATCATTCATTTCTGTCTGGAATAGTCTTGTTCAGTATTAGGGTTCTGACGTCACATCATCGCCTCGTTTTCAGAGGTCCGAAAAATCGGGGATTTCAATAATTTTTTATAAAACGTAGGGAGCTCACAGCAAGAAACGGTTTGCGGTGGTGAGCTAGTTTGGGTGAATTCTATCGAATTATGAAATAAAATTTTCTTGTGATATAAGCCCATTACACTTAATTATTGTACACTTGGATGTAAAAACCGCTTTTTTAAATGGTGTTTTGAAAGAAAACGTCTACATGAGGCAACCAGAGGGCTTTGTTGTAGAAAATAATGAAAATAAAGTTTATAAGCTGAGAAAAGCTGTATATGGCTTAAAGCAGTCGAGCCGTGCTTGGAATGAAAAGGTAGATACTGTTTTAATTGATTTGAAGCATGAAAAATCTAAATTTGAGCCTTGTTTGTACATTAAGAAGAAGAATGGTTCATTAACTGTGGTTGCTCTGTATGTGGACGATTTCTTTGTTTTTTCAAATGATCCCAAGTAAAGGGAGTTTCTGGAAAAACATTTGAGTTCAAACTTCAAAATAATGAATTTGGGAGAAGGGAAACAATGCTTAGGTGTTAGGATTGTAAGAGATCAACAAAGAAATGTTATAACTTTAGATCAAGAAAATTATATTGATGAAATTTTGAAAAAGTATAACATGTCAGACTGTAAGATTGTTTCTACTCCATTTCATGTCAATGTCAGTTTAAGTAATGTCCAGGATGAGATTTGTAATGAAAACTCACCTTATCAAGAGCTGATAGGGATCATAATGTAGCTGGCAGTGTTAACTCGCCCTGACATTGCTTACACTGGCAGTATGCGAAAAGAATATTGAAGTATTTGAAAGGTACCAAAAAGTTTTCCTTGAAATTTGAGAAAGATGAAAATTTCACCATAACTGGTTTTGTAGGTGCTGATTGGGGTTCTGATAAAAAGGATCGAAAATCCTAGACAGGCTATAATTTTAAACTTTCAGGGGGTTCAATTTCTTGGAAAACTTGCAAACAGAGAACGGTAGCCCTTTTGAGCACTGAAGCAGGCCCTCAGTGAGACTACCAAAGAGGCTATATATCAGTTGAATTATATTGAGATTTTCAATGACAATGAAAGCGCTCAAAAGTTGACGAGTAATCCAATCTTCCATGACAGATCAAAGCACATAGATATCAGATACCATTTTGTGCGAGATGCCGTTTCTGATAATACTGTTGATATCAAATACTTACCAACAAGCGAAATGGTGGCTGATATCTGATATTATAACAAAAACTTTGCAAAGTGTAAAGAATGCTAGGTTTGTTCATGGTTTAGGTGTTGATTAATGTAATACTTTGAAGTTTTTCAAGTGGGTTGAAATTTTCGATAAGTGGGGGGTGTTATGTTATATGGAAAATGATATATTTGGAGTAAGTAATGCCATCTATAATTCATAGTTTGAAAAACTGTTATGTTGGTACACCTCTTTACTAGTTATGTAGTGTAGCCAATCTTTGAAGTAAGTGTGTTAGGACGATTGAGTTCAGGTCGGTCATTAAAAGCTTCATGATAAAACACAGTTTTGTATTCACTCAGAACAACGATAATTCAACATTCAGAAAATCTTACGTCACTACCTACCTCTACCACCCTGTATGTCCAGCTGGGTTGACTACGGCTGTCGCCACTAGAGCACAACCATAGCTCAAGGATATCAGCTTAGTGAAAACTTTGTATCAAACATTGAACATTAGGCACATATCATTTCAACTGTATATTGTACCCAGACCTTTGTATATATCTGTGTTCAGGTTTGATAGTAGGCTCTCGAATTCACTTTACCACTAATGTACAGTCACCAGTCCATTTACTGAGCTGAAGGTGAATTCTGACCTGTTCAAGACTGGTTATTAAATTGAAGGGCCCTCAGCCAATAGAGCAATTTCAATGTACCCATTTATTACCATGGTTATAGGTTGATAATTATTGATTAATTGATATACTTTCCCCACGCGAGATCTCCCTTGACTGTGGTATCAGTACTATCAGTACATGTCATAATTTATAATAACACAAGTTATCTGTAATTCTTTGTCAATTATTACATCACAATATTTTGTGCTTTCCCTCCTCGGACAAAAAACCTTGTTTGGCACATTTCTGTTCATGAATATATTGAATTGCTACTGGTAAAACTTGATAATAGCACAGGAAAGGAAATTTCTATAATATTCATGGAACATCTTGCTTACCTTAATTCCTGAATTAATTCAAACTTGCTCCAATGGGAACCAATCGCATTATCACCTTCAGTTTGAACTAGTTCAAACTGAAAAATCCAATGGCATTATGGCAACCTGACCATCATAAACATCTGAGTGCCCACAGGCGGAAAATTAACTTTCCAAGACCCACTTCACAGTTTTCAATAAATTATTCATTGCATGTAAATTGATTGCTGCAGATCATATTTTCGGCAATAATAATATATGCAGGCTAATTAACCTGAATCGGAATGACCCTCTTGCAATGTCTTTTTGTCAAAAAAATCCGATGTCTATCATAAGTAAATTGAAACATCCACTGCATCGCACGGCCAGTTGAAGTTGACCAATTGGCCAATTGACTTTGGAGATAAACCATACCAATTATGCATGAAATGTCAAAAATCACTTGATTTATCACTTATGGACTATATTCCGAATTCAACTGGTCAGTACTGTCAGTAGATCCACTGAATCTGCTGAAAATTTGTGTTCCGAAATATAAAATCAAAAATACAGTGCTGTAATTCGGGACACGTTTTCATGATTTTCATCAGTAGTCAGCAGCAGTTGATCAGCTGGTGAAATTTGTCAGTCAGTAGTTTCTCGTTTATCTGAACTAGATATTAAATATTCAATATTCAACAAGGAAGAGCAATCAATTCTTGTAGCCTTCATAGTTTCCATGATTATTGATGATGACGATTCAGGCTTGAGTGATAAAGAATACTTGGACATTTTGTTGCCATTTCTCATGATGTACCAGATTGAGAATTGAAAGATTTATAGAAAACATAATGATGATGAATTTAGGGGACATGTCAGGTTTATTCAGTTATTTATTTAGCCAATGCTGCTTCTTTTATTACCTCTACTACTTCATACTCAATATTATTCTCAGCGCTTATTATTTCAATAAAAGGTATTTTCTGATATTGAGAATTATATTATAAACAACGGAAAAGAATGTTACATTCCTTCCCCCCCTAAAATAATGACAGTTCACTGAAGCCACACTACCTTCTGATACTCAGCAATTTCAGCAGAATGTTGAGTCAAATTATTTGGAATGAATAGTATGTCTGCTCACAAGCTTCTGTCACTTTCAGTGAATTTTTTGATTTAGGAATGAAAAATCTGCAGATTCAGTACTGTCAGTTGAATTGGGAATATAGCCATAATTACATGAGCTTTTATTTGTCAAAGTAAACCTGACATTTTGGTGAGAATTTTTATGCCTGGCAATTGTATTTCAACTTTTGGAGGTGAAAAGTTCTTGGGAATACTCTACTTGGTTGTTACAAGGGGCAGTAGTAGTGCACATTAAGTCTTTGTTGTTTCGTTTTCTTGGATCATAGACCAGTGACTTCATGCAGTCCTATAATAGTATAGTTACAGAGAACTTGGAGTAATTGGTTTTCCTGAACCTGAAGTATCTAATGTAGACTATTTGCTGTGTTGTTAAGTATAGCCCCAGATAAGGTAACATGGCTTGCTGAGTTGGGCGGAAGCTAGCACACCACAGATTTTTCTATGATAGAGCGAAGCAAAAAATTCGGGAATGGGGTAATAAATTAGCCTAAAATGATTCCAAAATTATGAGATGTGTCTCATGTTGAAATTTGTGAGTAGCTTTGCTAGCTTATTTAGTATTCTTATTGGATATATGATACTATGCTTGCACATAATAAACATAATACCAAATAATCGGATCCATTAGGATAGGAATAATGTACTCAGCTTATCACACAATAATAAAATGATAAAAATTATGCCATATCATTTCACTCACCCAACTATTATGAAGATAAAAATGGACATCAAAAAGTAGTTTGTCTGATAGTAAAGTAAATTGCTTGTAACACGGTTACCCCATTTTTCCAGATCATTAACAGTGGGCACTTGGAACCGTGCTGCTACTAACAAAAAGTCATCCAAAGATCGCAAAGGTGCAATGGCGAATGAAGAGGCTTCCTTTTTACTCATTCTTCACAATGAATCAATAAAATTCTCCAAGATTTATAATAGTTCTGTAATGCGAAATCGGATATTTTTTATTGAAAATAAAAATTATTTCTGTAAATGACCTCAACAGTTACAACAACATCAACAGTTAACCTCAATCTTATTCTTCTTCTTATTGTTTAATTTTCTTTAACCGCGGCTATGAAATCCTACGACTCCCGATCATCTTCGGAACATACGCAACTGCACAACTAGCGTCTGCACTAGTCTGCAGAGAGAACGCAAGAATTAAAGGGTGTGGTGGGGAATGTTGCCAGAGATAAGTTACCAGACTGGTAACTTATCTCTGATGTTGCGTCGCGTTAGAAGCGTTAGTTGCAGCGCGGTAAGGTTTCTAGAAAAGTTTTTTAGAATAATATTGCATGTATTGTGTTTTATGTGTATATACTTAGATCTAATGATTTTAAATTTCATTTTGTGACCCCAATTTTGTTCTAGAAGCGCCACTAAAATTGAGTTCATTGCTCAAACGTGAGGTCAGAGTTGGTAAAACTGATAAATATACTCCTTCTTTTCGTGTCATTTGGTCACTCCGTCAAAGTAATAATTAGTCGTGAAGTTCTACATTTTCCATAACTTGAGATTTCCTATTTTCTCAAATATTGTACATCATTGTTCCCGACGAATATTTTTGGTAAAACAGGTCACAGCCTTTAGGGCTATCCGGCAAAATTATGGGATTTTTGCCTTTGAAATTGACCTCACATTTCAGTAACGTACTGTGGTAACGTCCACTGGTGAGACTGAAAATGTTAGCCCTCGTTGTGCAAATTCGATATAAAGACGTAATAACTTTCGTATAACCAGGATATCTAATATTCACGTTATTATATTTTCCAACGAGAAAATAAAAACATTATGTAGAAGTTTAATACTCTAATCAAGATTTCTCAATGTCATTATCCTAAATTTCATTACTTGGTGATTCCTAGCAGCAAGAAATGAAATTTATATTATATCCCATGGGGCTATCCGGTACTTGTTCTTGTACTAGATTAGTGTTTATTGTATTGACGTACTAAATGTGTATGAAATGTACTAGAAAAGTACAATAGTACTAAAAACGGCAACTCTGCGGGGATACTCTTTCAGTTCTGCTCCCACGCACAAATCATATATGTATTAATAGATACATGGCACAAATATGTTCTTGTGTTCCGTCCGTGGTCAATTTGACAATTTAGGTGATTCACCGGATTCACCTGTCGATAAGTAAATCACTTCAGTAAACCCCTTAAGAGGAGAGATTCAACCAAATCGACATGCAGGCCTTCACTAGATGTTGCTATATGGGCTTATGAATGATTCAATTGAAAAACTGATTAAATCATCGTAAAGAAGAAGGTTGGGGCTAGGGCCTGGTTATCATACGGAGTCGAAACTCATTTATTTATAGAAGATACAGATTTTTGAAAAACGTAAACATTGAAATTTTTTTGTCTCAAATTGAAATATTTTCGATCTCAGTACAATTGTTGGAAATTCGGCAAGGTGTCACTGGAATATCAGCTCTTGAAATGTTTCCATTCGGACAGGAAGCAACAAAAACGATCATTTTGTCAACAAAATATCCATTCATCCCAGCTGATCTCGGTAAACTCCATTTCTTGAAAGAATGTAATGCAGGAAACTAGGATGTGGTAGTTCAGGCACTACCTGATAGATGGCAGTGTTCGAAATGACAGACTGCGGCAGAGAGGAATGGTGCATTGTATTGCAAGCAGATGGCGCTTAGGAGAGATGATGAATTCAAACCCGTTTACACCGTTGCCAATGTTATACATATTACTCGGACATATTATGAAATCTAGGCGACGTGATAATACAGAGGGTATTATTCAATTATCTGGGCATATTTCAAGGGGAGGTTCTCCGAGTGTTTGTAAGACGAACAAATCTAATATATAAAATTCTCCTGTCAGGGTCACGGTCATAGTGGTCGAACTCCTCCGAAACGGCTCGACCGATTCGTATGAAATTTTTTGTGCGTATTCGGTAGGTATGAGAATCGGTCGTAATCTATTTTTTAAATAGAAAATACAAAATGGCGGATCCAATATGGCGACCGAGTATAGTTATCCGATTTCATTCAAAATTGGTACTCAGGGGTTTTCGGGGTCGGAGATTATGAATATTTCGTCAAATTTTGGAAATTCAAGATGGCGGATCCAATATGGCGGACGAGCTTTGTAATTATGGTCAGATTCCATCCAAAATTGGTATCTGAGGGTTTTCGAGGTCGGAGATTATGATTTCTTCATCGAAATAAGGAAATTCAAAATGGTGGATCCAATATGGCGGACGAGTTTTGTAATTATTTTTTTTATCGCTTGGAGCGCACGAAAGGAAATCCCTATAATGTTCAAAGAACATCGTGCGTTGCTAGGGTGGATAGGGACAGGAGGTAGGTATTGGAGTTTTTTTTTGAACTTCTGGAGATTATATGTTGTTGGGAATACTTCCTCGGGCACTGAATTCCAGAGCCTAGCCGTTCTATGGATGAAGGAGTTTTGATAAAGTGCTGTTCGACATCTTTCGAGGTTGACAACGAAAGGATGTGCTGACTGGGCTTGTCTACTTCGTCTGGTATTGCTAGTGGAGGGATGATAGCCATTTCCAGTGGAAGTATCGATAGAAAAGTGAAAGGTCGCCGACCTTTCTACGGTGTTCCAATGATGTCAAAGAGTGAGTGAGTGTGGCGTCACCCACCAGGCGAATGGCTCTTCTCTGGATGGAATCTAAGAGCATCAGCGTATGTTTTGGTGCTGAACAGAACAGATTGGTCAGATATCATTCAAAATTGGTATCTGGTGGTTTTCGAGGTCAGGGATTATGATTTTTTATCAAAATTAGGAAATTCGAAATGGCGGATCCAATATGGCAGACGAGTTTTGTAATTATGGTCAGATTCTATTCAAAATTGGTATCTGGAGGTTTTAGAGGTCGTAGATAATTATGAATCATTTGTCAAAATGGGGAAATTCAAAATGGTGGATCCAATATGGTGGAAGAGTTTTTTAATTATTCTATGTAAAATTGGTATCGGGGGGTTTTCGGAGTCGAAAATAATGATCCTTTTATCAAAATTTGGAAATCCAAGATGGCAGATTCAATATGGCTGACGAGTTTTGTAACTTAATCCGATTCCATTCCAAATTTGTATATGGGGGATTTTGGGATAGGAGATTATGATTGTTCATCAAAATAAGGAAATTGAAGATGGAGGATGGCAACTGAGTTTTGTAGTTATGATCCGATTCTATTCAAAATTTGTATCTGGGTGTTTTCGGGGTCGGAGAAGAATTAGAAAACAAATGAATATAAGTATGTTGATAAATATTTAACTAAAAAAATATTTTCTGGAAATAATTGTATATAGCAGAACAACGTTTGCCGGGTATCAGCTATTGTAATAAATATTAGTTTGAAAAACTAATGAAACACCTTTTTATAGATAGCCATACTAGAAAGAAGTGAGTAGAAAATAAAGAGTAGTTTGAAAAAATGAAGAGGTATAGAGAACCGAACTAAAAAGAACTAGAAAATAAATAGAGTAGTTTGAAACGGCCTAGAATTTGTCACTGAATTATAATTATATAGGTAGACCTGAAAATTTAAACATACAAATTCAGCAGAATTTCTTCAATTCTATTCATGAGATCGATAATTATGTCAGCATATAGATGGAAATAATAGGAATGGCACAGTTGTGGAACAAACTTCAAAAAGCTTTGTTAATCTGTGTCAAAAGTTCAGGTTATTTCACTCTAAAACTCATGCAAAAACATTCGTCTCAGAACTCTCAGAGTACAGTTCTCAGATTTTGGATCCATTGATATGGCGATATTCACAAAGGATAATACCGCCACGGCAACAAAACAAAACTGAGCGAGAAATCGTTATATTCGTTATATGCTTATATGTCTCCCTCCCGCGGCGAACCGTGGGGATATTCATTGGTCGCGCGGTGATTCCCCGTCTTTCCGCAGTCCGCCTAGTCCGCCACGTGCCACTTTGAATTGCGTGAACTTCAGATGAACTTCAAACTAACCGGCATATAATCAATAATTGAAAAGCCAGTGTTGCAAGCTGCTGCAAATGATATGTCGCAAAAATTCATAAGAATGGGCAGAAAAGCGAGGCAACAGGAAAGTCAGCCACATACGAAATATTTGAAAATATAGCAGCCGCTTTTTTTTTGCGAGACATTTGGAGACGTTATCGAACATCCAGTTCATGTTTTAGAGAATTATCGTAGGTAGATACTTCATATTCCACTTACATCTTCTTTGGGGAAGATTTTTGAAATTCAATGAATTCCGTGATATTAAAATTTTCTTTGAAATATATACAGGGTTATTCATTCAAAATGGTCAATGTGTGAGCTAGAAATAGTAAACATCAGAATATCAAGATTAGCCTCACATCTCACATCCCACATAGAAAATGCTGTTAGTTTTGGAGAAACAGGGTGTACAAGGAAAATATTTTATTTTGAAATTCCTCATACAATAACTTTGTAAGTTTTAAATCAGCATGAAAATGGTCAATGTGTGAGCTAGAAATGGTAAACATCGGAATATCAAGATGCAGCCTCACATCTCTCATAGAAAATGTTGTTAGTTTTGGAGAAACAGGTTGTTCAAGAAAAATATTTCATTTTAAAATTCCTCATACAATAACTTTGTGAGTTTTATATCAGCATGAACATAATTTTCTTATATTTTTTTCATTATAATTCGATTTTTAAATGACCATTAAAACAAAATGGATTGTGAGATATAGAAAGCATATGATGGCAAATCAATTTCTCACCGTTATGTTGAAGACCGAAACCAGGGAATCCTGGAAACTTTGGTACGATATAATCACACTCACACTATACACTGTTTTATCACTATCAAACAGAATTTTTATCAACTCGACAAACTTTATTACCTAAAAACATTCGCTGTCTAAGATAGACTAATAAAAACTTTTGAGATGGTGTTCGCTTGAATCTCCTAATTTTGACAAATGATTCAAAATCTCCGACCCCTGAAACACCAGTAAAAATTTTGAATAGAATCGGATAATAAAATTAGAAAACTTGTCCGCTTTGATGGATCTGCAATCCTGAATTTCCCAATTTTGACGATAGAATCATAATCTCCGACCCCAAACACCCTTATATATAAATTTTGAATAGGATAGAATCATCATCACATAACTCGTCCGCCATATTGAATCCGTCTACCTGAATTTTTTCATTTCGGGATTCATAATCTCCGACCCCAAAAAACCCCAGATACAAATTTCAAATGGCATAGAATCATAATTACGAAACTCGTGCGCCATATTGGTGGAGCCATGATGAAAGAATCATAATCTCCGACGCCGAGAACCCCCAGACACCAATTTTGAATAGAATGGGATCATAATTATTATAAATAAAACTCGTCAGCCATCTTCAATATCCTAATTTTCACGAAAGAATCATAATCTCCGACCCCGAAAACCTCCATATACCAATTTAGAATAGAATCTAATCATAATTACGAAATACTATAGTATTATGTATACATAATATAAGATGAGATGCGATACTGCACCCTTCAAATTTATTGCTATTCATTGACCTCGCGATAACGGGACACGGAACAGGTCGTGACGATGACGCGAAATCCAATGTTTTTCTCCACCCAAAAAAGTGCTCAACGCGCCTAGAAGTTCTCACTTCGAAAAAATTGTTTTTTTCATAAGTGCAATTATGATCGAAATTTGTATTTCAGCAAGCAGGTCTGAATTAGAGAACATGAAATTTGAATCAAGGATTTCTTTCATTCTACACACTGTATATATCAATTGTACGCTGATCAATATAACCCTTATATCAGTAATAGCAGTGTGAATTCGTAAGAATGTAGATATTTGAAACTAGGCAATCGTCTACGTATATACCCTATACAGAAAACACGAAATTTCTATTTATAGCCATCTGAACTTGATAAAAAATCTTGCACACATTATTTCTGAATTACACAGACTATTTTGAGTATTTTGCCCTGAACAATGATTTCGATCCCCATCCTTGGAAGTTTTTCTGGCGACGCCAATAATGATAAGTTATATTTGTAGGAAATGAAATTAAAAAGGAAAAGAAATATTCGAAAGACTACTTGTGAAGACAGTTTCAAAAATGACTCATGACATAAATTTTCATTGTAGCGAGATATAGGTATTTGCTTGACTTGAATGGAGTGAAAAGTGGAATCATGTTGAGCAGGCCCGTGGAGCAGTAGCTCTGGCAACACTGCACGTACATAATACAATTACCTATGATTGCATTCAATTGTGTGCCACCTATTGGTGACCTGCTGTAACAGACGAAATCGAAGAACTCTACAATAGCTGTGAAAGCTGTAATTTAATTATTTTATTCCGATTTCGACATCATACTGACATCTAGAAATAGTTGTTGAACTAGTATATATATATAGGCTATATTCGGTCGGAAAGCTGTCGCGAAAGGCCCGCCTTAACGGCCCTATAATGAATAGACAGAATACTAATTGCAAACTGCAAACATTTGCTCATCATTAATTTGCTACTATTGGTAATAGAGTGTACTGGTTCAAGAATTGCGTCAAGTAATTTATATTACATCAGGATGGTGAGTATTAAAGCGATATAGAAAATAGTAATATAGGAATAGCAACAGGACGGATAATTGGATTTGAAGAGCCAATTGAACATAAAATAATATACACTTTTCTGATTGCTAATAAGATAATGAGAATGATTGAGAAATAGGCGGGGTCAAAGTGAACATTTCGAAATTCATTTTTTCACATATGTATTGACTTTCAAGTGATTGATACTCAAGTATCATAAACATCGATCCAATTTTTTCAGCGCGCCTGGAATTACGCTATTGTTATCTCCTCGGTTATCTCCAAAGAAAAACTAGAAGCTCAATCTTTTGTATAATTCTACGATGCGTCCATCCTAAGAAAAAAATATTTTTTCGGCAACCGTCCGGGAAGTGCTCACTTCCGGACGCTTTTTCTTTGAGAATGTAGCATTTTTCCGACCTAGTCCGGGAAGTACAACGTACTTCCCGTTCCGGGACTAGGCCGGGAGTATCACATCGCTGTTGTCGACAGGTATATGACATGAAATTAGTTGACATTTTGATTTTTGAAAGTTTGGTTGCAATTATCGCAATCAACTATCCAAAGCAGCTGCGATAGTGAGTTTGAAAATGTCCAATGTAACAGTTAGTAGGTATATAGGTATATTCTGTTCAAATTTCAGTATTTGATACAAATGAGAATTAATAAAGAAGAAATTGTATTCTACAAAGAACTATAATATGGAAATGTGTCACATTGATTTGTTAGTCTACATGAAAAAAAGAGTGTACGCAACACGTCCAAAAACAGTTTTTTTGGACTCGCAGACTTCCAGGACTCGCCTACGGCTCGGCCTAGAATTTTGTCTACTTGTCCAAAAAACAGTATTTTCCGTACTTGTTACGTAAATTACTATTTTTTCACGAATCGTGCCTGGATCGATGAAACTTTTTTCTTTACATCTCCGAAATTACAGTTGCAACCTTGCAACTGCGTAAATTAGGAGGCTTTAATAGAGAAAAGTTGTATTTTAGTATATTTACGTAATATGTTGTAAGAAGCATATATTACGCACAAATGGAAAAGTTACGCACGTAGCCGCGGAGCAGCGAGTGCGTATATTTCCATGAGTGCGTAATTGCTTTACAACACGCATTACGTACTATACTTTTCACCTACTGCCATATAGTACATCAAAAAAGTTTGGACAAACAGTCTGAATTATAATTCTCGACAGTTATGTCATCCGCTGTTGACGGCGATTACGTTGTCAACCTCGAAAGATGTCGAACAGCACTTTATCAAGACTCCTTCATCCATAGAACGGCTAGGCTCTGGAATTCATTGCCTGTGGAAGTATTCCCAACAACATATAATCTCCAAACGTTCAAAAAAAATTCCAATACCTACCTCCTGTCCCTATCCTCCCTAGGAACGCACGATGTTCTTTGAACATTATAGGGATTCCCTTTCGTGCGCTCCAAGCGATAAAAAAAAATACCGGCAGAATAAACGAAAACTGTACGATGGTGCTTACTGTGCGTAAAGAGCTACTTTCTGAGGCTGCCTACTTTCTATAGTGGTCGTAGGTAAAACTATTTTACAGCTCTGTTGCAACTGTAAATTTTATATATAGGCACATGGAACTTTTTATCAAATCATCCAATTTTCAAATGCAACTGTAAATTAGCAAATTTGGTTCCTGAAAGGAGAAAAAAAAACATCCTGAGTAATTAATTTATTGAAATACAGAAAGAAAAATTAGCGTGCGTTATGATTCATATAATGCCCTCCATAACGCCCTAGGGCGTTATGGGTCTGTCAATAGCTACCGTTGCCAAGGTATTATGAAGCAGTAATGGACAAGTGAAAAATAATAGTTGATTGTTTTATTAGAATATGTGATACTTTGTTTGACAAGCGATATTTGCGTATTCGAGGCAAACAGAGTCACTTTTGATCCGAATGAAACATGCTATTTTTTCTGCAATGGAAAAAATTGATATCTATAATAAATAAAATACAAGTAAAAATACCGCCACTATTCTGAGTCACTTGAGCATGTCAGTGTCAAAGCAGCTGTCATATCAGCAGTCATCCGACACGTTTCCAGTTCCTAGGAGCTAAACTTCAACTTTACCTCCTAGACACTTGAAGTGTTGCCTCCTAGCAACATGCATAATTATGCTAATCGTTATATTGTGTCAGTAGGAGAAAGGCCAAAACTTCAAGAGATCAGTGTGAAACCAGCCACGAGGTCCAGCAACGACTTTGTCTAATATTCAAGGCGCGCGCCATACCAGCAATGGTCGTTCATTATTAATTCATGACTGGCCATGAAATTACTAAAATAACCTCCAAAATATGTCCGTGGATGAAACTTTTTTACATCAATGTATTCCACTGAGGGTCCTCAATAATCTGTATATCTCACAATAATTTGTCGGACGAAAATTAACTTCACAGACCCCTCTCTTTCAGAATTTCGAACAAAAATCATAACTTTTTCAAAATACGCGTGGATGGGAGTTTTTTTTCTATGAATAAAAATATGAATTTAAAGGTATTTAAGTTATGTTTAAGTTATGATTCTATATGTATTTAAAAAAAAAATAGTCCACTAGTCTATTCCCATTTCTCCCCAGGAAACTGAGAACTCACGACGAAGGTAGATGAACGCTGGCAATCAATCTTGCTGAAATTACTGCCTGCTGGGGAACCAACTACATACGCCACAAAAACTCGAGACTATATTTTCCCTAGGAAGGCGTAATATGCTCGATATTTCCATCAGCAATAATCTTTCATGAGAATATCATCTCAGATCCATCGCGAAAGCTGCTTCACAAACATTCGGATTTCTATTTGATGCGAACATCTACTTTACACCTTAACAGCTTCTCATGATCTTACAAAGCACAGACACGGCCTTTTTTAGGGTACCTATACCAGGGCCTAGGAATGCCGATTCTAAAATCGATTTTTCAGAGTTCGATCTTTTTCGCAAAAAAAATCGATTATTTAATCGATTTTACAAAGATCAATCTCGGAACTTTTTATATTCTTGTGACTGAGAAAATATAATAATTTTAAAAAGGAACATTCTCAGATATATTTATGAACACAAAAAAATTTATATATAAACTGGGCGTCAATTGAAACGTTAATAGTGAAATTTGGCATCAAGTTTGACTTCTCGTAATTTCTAAAATATTGAACCAATTTTGAATTGCCGCCCAGATTCTGAATGCCTTTTTCATCGTCTTTCGAACCGTTTCTTACAGCTTCTTCTAAATTGATCAGGACCCGTGATACAGGGTGAAACAAAGTTTCGTGCATTTTGAAAAAAAAATCGCCCCCCCATTTTGTCGGAAGACCACGCGATGTTCATATTTTATTCGGGCATTTCATGAATAGCAACCATACCTCGGGACGTTTTCGAGTTTTTGCCAAAAACTACTGTGGTTTCCGAAAAAAAATTTTTTTTTGTATTTTTTTAAATGGACTAATTTTAGAGGAGTTCCATAAATGGATGCTTTTATGCATTTCAGGAAAGCGTTGGAGCAGATATGTAAACCAGGTTACTCAGAAACAATCAATAATTTATTACTTCGCAGTCTATGATAAAAGTTGTCTACCTTAGTGAGCAGTAAAGCAACACATCTCATCAACAAAAACAAACAACGATACCTTGTTTCTATAACAACGTATTGTTGAAACAATGTAGGTATGCATAGAGGTTCTATCAATTGCCAATTTTCATGAAAACGTCAGTGTAATTCGGGTCCTAAAAAATTTAAAGATTCCTCGTTCAAATCGGGTCGAAATGGAAAATATCATCATTATAGTGATATAAACTATAATTCAGTACAGATAATTATTATCTCAGGTTACGACGATTAGGATATACCCAAACTCATTTAAGTACCATTTTCAATGAGTCAGTCATGACAATAAATAGACTGATTCATCGTTTTGCAGATACAGGTAATCAGGCCATTTAAAAGAAAGACAAAAAAAATTTTTTTCGGAAACCACAGTAGTTTTTGGCAAAAACTCGAAAACGTCCCGAGGTATGGTTGCTATTTATGAAATGCCTGAATAAAATATGAGCATCGTGTGGTCTTCCGATTTTGTTTCACCCTGTATCACGGCTCCTGATCAATGGGCTTATATCACAAAAAATTTTTATTTCATAATTCGATAGAACTCACCTAAAGTAGCTCACCACCGCAAACCGTTTCTTGCTGTGAGCTCCCTACGTTTTATAAAAATTATTGAAATCCCCGATTTTTCGGACCTCTGAAAACGAGGCGATGATGTGACGTCAAAACCCTAATACTGAAACAAGACTATTCCAGACAGAGATGAACGATACATGATTTCTGACAGAGTGAATTAGCGCGAGATCACAGTTGAAAGAATCAATATATCAGTTGCCTCAGTCTCCATCAGGCGTTTGGTATTTTCTTTTAACTATGGCGAGATGAGGTTTCTACGTCATAAGAGGGTCCGTTTTCAGAAGGTACTATTATTTATGTTCAAAAATAAAATATTCCAGTTAATTTTTCGGTCGAATTATGTCGTCAATCATTATTTATGTATAAAAGGATCATTATAAACATGGTTTGAGTTAAAACTTCTACTGAGGTGTACACGCCCATTCAGAAGAAGTTGTAAGGAACGGTTCGAAAGACGAGGAAAAAGGCATTCAGAATCTGGGCGGCAATTCAAAATTCGTTCAATATTTTAGAAATTACGAGAAGTCAAACTTGATGCCAAATTTCACTATTATCGTTTCAATTGACGCCCAGTTTATATAAATACATTGAGAATTCGCATTCTCCATGTGATGAAAATAATAATTCTTTCTCGGTTTATTCAACAGAAAACAACTACTTTCCTGGCTATATGCCAAGACGAATATTGATTTACATCTATTGAACACACACGATAAGAATTTGAAAAAAAATCTTCTGAAGTAGAGAATTTGCATTCTCCTTCATATAATAGTATATTATGTAACAAGTGTTATAAA